AAAAAAAAAAAAAAAAAAATTCTCTAGTCCACACAGAAAGGAAAAACAAGTATACTGTGTGCACTGCAACTGATAATACTTCTCTACTTTTTTTTTTTTTTGGCGGACCCCGGGATTGAACTCAGGCCCTTGCGCTTACCAGGGAAGCGCTTATTCTACTGAGCCATCTCCCTTGTCCTACTTCTCTACAACTAAGGAAAGTTCAATCTTTTTATCTTAGTATTCCCAGAAGTTCAACTACAAAAATTGCTTCTGGCTCCCAGAGGTGGGGGGGGGACCCTTCATTCGTAAGAAGTTTTCAAGTGTTCAAAAAGGTTGCTAGCCTAGTTTCTTAGTTTCTTTTTCCCCTTGAAAGTGTTTTACTAAATAATCCAGTCTAGCCTTGAACTCTGTATGTAGCCCAGGATGCCTCGAACTCAAATCTTTCTACCTCAGCCTCCCAAGTACTAGGATTACAGGCCTGTGCCACCACACCTAAATAAAGAGAAAAAAAACTTATATTGCTTAGTTAGGTCTGAACATCTCAACGCCTATTAATGCCAGCATTTGGGAAGCTGAGACAGGACGACTGCTATATAACTTTGAGGCCAGCCTGGGCTACATACTGAGTTCAAAACCAACCTGAAGGGCCTGTCAAATAGCTCAGCAGATTAAAACGCCTGCAGGCAGGCCCCACCCCCGGGGGCACACTGAGACTAGGCAATTGAGACTGGGCATGGTGGCACTCACCTATAAACTCAGCTCTTGCTTTTTTGTTTTGTTTTGTTTTTTTGGTACCCAGTATTGAACTTAGGACCCTGCACTTGCCAGGTAAATGCTTATTCTACTAGGCTATCTCCCCAGGCCCCAAGCCCAGCTCTTGGGAGGCCATAAACAGGCGGCCATAAACATGCCACTACAAATCCAATCTAGTAGTGAGATCCTGAACACCCTGTAGACTCTTCCCTAAAAATACAAAAAAGGGCTGGTGAGATGGCTCAGTGGTCTAAAGCACCTACTTAGAACAAGCTTAGCAAAGCACAGGGACCACGGTTCAATCCCCCAGCACC